AGAAATTGGCCTAAATAAATACAACTCTACAAAATTTCGGCATGAAGCCATTTTCATAGAGTTGGGGGGCAGTTGTTAACACCTAAAATATAATCCAAAGTAATCGTGCCATGTGGTAAAAAATCCCGAGGTCTGAACTCTAGGTCGGCCCATAATTATTGGTCCGAAAAGATTAATTTCTAATCACGGTGATCAGAATTAAGGTCAAAAATTAAGAAGAATGGAATTCTTAGGCCGTTAGGACTGAGATAAAGTATTGAGCTCATAACCAACCATGGTCATGATTAGGAATCTCAACCAAGACTCTCAGTAACTATGGTTATGATTAGGAGTCTCGACCATTATCTCTCAGTGTCACTATGGTCATGATCAAGATTCTCAGTCACCATAGTCATGATAAGGAGTCGCAACCAAGACTCTCAGTCACTATAGTCATCATCAGGAGTCATAGCCAACTATGGTCATGATTGAAAGTCTCAACCACGACTCTCAGTTAGTATGGTCACGACCAAGACTCTCAGTCAGTATGGTTATGATCAGGAGTCTCGGCCATTATCTCTCAGTCATTATGACCTAAGAAAGTTTCTCGACCAACCAGGGTCGAGAGTTTTGACCAGTGGTCGAGAGTCTTGGCCAGTGATCGAGAGCACGCCTAATTGATGGACAAGCTCATACTAGGATGGATCGAATATCTCTTCGGGCCATAGTCACTTGAAAAGTGTTTGGTGTGACTCAAATGAGGACCAGCTGTGAATCCCAATGTCTCAAGAACCCAACAAATCAGGTCTGGAAACTTAAAGAAAGGTTGAAATAGAAAAATACAACCTGATGATGTCAAAGGTCCAGAGATTCAAAACTATAGATGGAAGGTTCTCACTTACACCTGATGAAGAAAGTCAGAATTGTTAGTAATCAGATGATCCCATAGCCAATATATAGATTAAGCCAGGCATGACAGGTGCAGAGAGCTGAAAATAGCTTGAAGACCAAAATCATCAAGCATGAAAGAAGATGCATCATTTAGTCAAAAATACTATGCCAGACACATTTGTATCTGCCCATGGAGAGATATGCAAGCCAGCCAACCTGACCAGCTTAGCAAGATGGTTAAGAGAAGTTGTTTTCAACTTGTAACCATTTAATTTCTAGAACAACGGATTGAAAGGGACAACACCAGGTTGAAGCCTCTATAAATACCTACTCAAGTCTCATAAGGAAGAGGTCCAGCACCATTTCTAAAGTTCAAGCCTTTAACATTCATATCACTAAACACTTAGCTTTTATTTCATCAAGTTTAGTTATCACTATCAGTTTAGTACTTAGTTCATCTTTCAGCATTCAATACTTTAGTTTCCATTTCAATCAAGAATTTGTAATTCATTCCTCATTGTAATCAATCCAAAGTTCAATGAAGAAAGGTTTGCAGATTCAGGTATATTTATTGCTCAATTAATTTGCTTCTAATTGATATCTATCTTAAATGTTTAAAGTCCTTTCTTAAAGGCAATAGCAATCTTAAGGAGAGGGTCATTCCTACTCTCCAACTTTCGCTAAAAATATTCGAGTCCATCAGGACTATGGCACGCCCGCGTTTCAAGTCAGCCATTCATTGGCCAGTGACCTCAGACCACTTTGTGAGCCAAACAGTATGGTCATTTATTGGTTATATCCCTTGGAACTGGCTCGGCAAAGGCTGTGGAAAAATGTGATGCAGATGACATTGGGGTGGTTAACCAGTGGTGGCTCCAGCCCATTAGTTGATGTGTTTTCTCAAGCAAGTGTTGATTTGGTCGATTTCCATCTCTCTGTTGTTTTTCAAGCCTTTCACTCTGAAAAGAATTACTTGCGTATTCAAGTACGTGTTCATGCTCATAAACAATATGATTTACTATACAATATTGTTGAATTAACTTTTTTAATTTTTTCATTCTATGTCAACCAAGCATTTCCATTGACTCTGTTGAACCAAAAAATTTCAGGATGACTCACTAAATGAGATAGCATCTTCAGTTGATATAGCTACCAAAAATAATTTAGAAGTTCTTCTGAAGGTTGGGGAAGGATTGCTAAAAAAACCAGTTAGGCTATCAGAAGGTATTAATTTATCTTAATTTACTGACTCTACACATAGTTTGGTTCATTTATTTATTTATCTTCGATTATTCTAACAAACTTTTTGTCTCACAGATTTGCTAAATTACTCTCTGAAGAGAAGCACCTTCGCAATGCTAGATCACCACATGGGCGAGCTGCAAGTTCCAAAAGACTTTAATATAAGTTAGGGTTCAAATGTTGTAGTTTCTAATTTTTAGAGGCTGTGCAAGTTATACAGGCATGCCTTTTTATTTATTTGGTTCCTTTTTTTTTTCCTTTCTATTATCGTCCTGGTGGGATATAATGTTGACAAGTAATGTAACCATTCTTTATACTTCCGATTGTTGTATTCAATGCATTGTAAAATTTTTAAAGAATTTTCGGTGATTGATCCAGAATGCAGTCATCTTTTATGCCATCCAAATCAGATACAGCAAGTTAAAAATAGAGGTAAATAAAGGAGAATTTAATTTTGGAGAACCTATATTGTTATATAATCTGAGAGTAGTGTTTGCCATCTTTCTACCTTGAATATTGGGTGTGCACAAACAATTTGTAAAGCTAAAAGATAAAATTTGGAGTAGTTCTGATGTTGTTATACTCTTTGTTATAGTGGTCGTTAATTGTCAACTCAGATTGAAAATCTAAATGGATGCTGCCAATTCACATTTCATCATTCCGACTTTATACTTCCTACCAGTCAACCAAGACTTGGAGTACTTGTCTCACATACCTGTCAACCATAAGGTATATAATCACATGGTTTTTTGTGAGTTAGACTCCAACACATGGTCCCTCAAACTCCTTCACATTTAAATGATACTGTACTTCATAGGTGTAATTTACGGGTGATAGCACACATCGAAGGTTTACGTTGCAGCCATAAGCCTAAAGGGACGGTGTTTGGAAGGGTTTCCTGTTCCAAAAAAAAAATCTAGAATTGCCCCCAAAATTCAAGAAAATAATTAAAATCAGAATCGAATAGAAAATACATAGAAAGCATCCAATAAACACTTAAAAGTGCATTAAAAATTTTAGGTTTCCACATATTCAATAAATTTTTTGGGGATTTCTTATTTAAGTAAGTTGCAACGGATAGTTACACTTATACTATACATTGAAGAGGATTAAACTTAGTCTTGTTCCTATAAATATTTAACCAAAGAAAATTTGCAGAGAAATTCAATGCCCAAAATAATCAATAATTATAATAATAATTATTATTATAGGTAATGAAAAATAACAATGAGATTAGAAACTTATCGACCAATTTTGAGACTGAGGCATGCCTTCAACGATGCCCTAGGGCAAACTCGTCCCCCACACTTCTTTGGAGTAATTCTACAAGGATTGTAGATGTCTATCACAAAATTAATAGCATTCAATTGTCATAAGACAACACTCCAATATGATGATTAATATTATATAGATATGAAGGAAGAAGAATGGAAGATTCTAGAAGCCAAATAATATACTCCGTGCCATAAAAAATGTCCACCTTTCCAAGAAAAACATCCAAGGAATACTTACAGCATAGGAGAAACAGGAGTCACAGATCCATTTCCACAGGATTAGTAAATTTTTTAGGATGTCTCGTTAATTTCTTGCACTTCCTTTTCCTTATGGTGACTGATCAAGTTTAGAAACCATCCAATTCCAATTTAACACTTTCCAGAAGATAAGTATCTTAGGGAGAAATATTGGTCACTATGGTTATGAAACTTAGTACATAAAAGTGGAATCAGATAATATAATTTTTTTACTGTCAAATTTAGATCTGATCAATCGCTAATCGCTGCAACATGCAACTGTTGCCTGAAACGCCACATCAATTTTCTCTAAGATCATGTCATCAACATCTACCTTTTCGCTTGTCTTAGCCAAATATTTACCTAACCACTTCAATCTGAAGAACAGTCCCATGCAAGACTAAGAAAGTGTACATTTTGTAGTATTTATTAGTTCGAAATGTGGTGATGTGATGATTGAAACAACATTTTTTAAATACTTGTAGCCTCTATCCATATTTCCTAATTTAAAAAGAGAATAACTGAGAATGCTGACATCTTTGAAGCTTCACACCTTGCAAACAGAGTGCAAAAGGCAATAAATAAGAAACAAAAAGCATACTTTAGAGTAGCCCTTGGTCAATTCCTAACAGTCAACCAAGGCTTCCAAGCCTTCCATTTTTCGTCTTACCTTCTCATTCTTCACAACTAAGAATTAAAAATCTGAGATCACATCAAAACATATGGAATTTAGAATCAAGAATCATCTACGTCATACTTAAAACTGAAGGAGAAAGAGGAGTCGCAGATCCATTTCCACAGAATTAGTAATTTTTAATTTCCTAGTTTGGCATATAATTTCTTGTTATTGTAATCTCTTAAGGTGACTGATCAAGTCTACTTCTGCAGAACAATCCAATTTCACATTTTCCAGGAGAAAAATATTTAGAGAGCAACAGTAATTGGTCATTTAGAGTATGAAACTTAATGAGGACATATATATAACTAGAATAATCAGATAAAACAGGTTCTTCACTGTCAATTTTACGTATGATCAGTAACTAATCATTAAAATGAAGACGCATTTAGAGCCACATGGAACCATCCAAGCACCTCTGATGGGCACATTACATCAGTCTGCTAGTACCATGCACATCCATTTCCTTTCAACTTTCATCTATGACATAGCACAATAATTACCGTTGTTTAATTGTTGCTCACCATGCTTATGGTGGGTAGTGGTCAAAAGAATCAAAATCAATTTTGAAAAATTTACACAAATGTTAAAACCATATTACAGATGTAAATATCCTGCACTGTTTATATGAATCCATAAATTCTCTTAAAAAGTAAAGTCTGTCTTGTAAATTGTGGCCTCCTAATAAAACCCCAAGTTCAATGGATTCAAAGCATAAAATTGATGTTAGGTAAGAGTCCACAAGCTATGCAATTGCAAAAGAAAAGCATATTTAAGTGATTTTATGTGCATGTTCTCAATACTATACCATGTCCAACATTGTAACACTTTCACAACTTTGAAGAGGTCTGGAGGAATGGTTGAATGGTTTACCATTGTTGATTCTTACTAACGCGTGAATTGCAGAGTTCCTCTCACCAATTTTCATGGCTGATTCTTCCTTTTCAATTGATTCGGCGCAGCTTTCCTCGAATGCAAATGATACATGTGTTAAGAATTCAAGTAGCTAGTAGGCAGCACCAGCAACCTCAAAAAATCAATTTATGCACCAGACAGTAACACATTGAAGTTGACAGTCAACAATTTATTGGCCATTGGATGAGGTTGTATAATTTGTTTGAGGAAAATAACCAATTCATGAGCACCATTGGATTGTCTGGGAAAATAGTTTATTTTAATTGGACCATTCTTACGTACAATTCCCAGATAAGTCTTACCTAAGATTCTCATATATAGTACATAGGGGACCATCTTTTGCAGCTGCCAAAGCAAAAGATAACCTAGAGGACTAGTTTTGGAATGTCGAATTTTCAGCTGATTCATGCTTAATTTGTATCGTCAAAGCATGAAGAAAGTTCGGAGGTGTACGAATTTCAAAGCAGATGCATCGTTCATGAAATCGTCGAATCTCAAGGAATAAGAAGGGTAGGATAAGGATTCTATAAATATCGATCCTCTTCGAAAAATGCTTCTCAAGATCAAAAAACCTTCAAGGCTCTCTCCAAGGCTATTTAAAACTTCAAATTTCTTCGGCTATCTAAAAGTTCAATCTCTCTCTCTCACCCTTTTCGTAACATCGAAGGACAAAAGTTATTCCTACAGCCCCCAACTTATGGAAACTTAATCACAGTTCTCAGCATTGATGGAGGTGGAATGAGAGGCATTATCCCCGGAACAATCCTCAGCTTTCTGGAGTCGGAGCTACAGGTAGAGTACCATCTTCTGTACTTAAATGTCAAAATATGGTTTTTTAAATGTGTTTTTTCAATACTTATATAAAGTCAAAAGAAGTTTTAATCTTTCAGACTTTCATTAAGCAAATTTTCATGCCAATTTCATGCAAAAGTACGTCATAAACTTCTACTTTCTAAAATAGAACACTCCAACATTCACTTGAATTAATGTTTTGCAATGCCTAGTTCATGCAATTAAAATGCTAACCTCTTTGAAGTGCAAACTGACCTATATGCTTTTTTCATATGGTGCAGAAGCTGGATGGTGAGGATGCAAGAATTGCAGGCTACTTTGATGTGATTGCAGGGACAAGCACAGGTGGGCTTGTGACTGCCATGCTTACTGCACCGAATGAAAAGAACCGTCCTTTGTTCACAGCCAAGGATATCAAAGACTTCTACCTCGAAAACTGCCCTAAAATCTTTCCTCAAGTCTGGTAATTATTTATAACGAATTAATTATATGCTAATTAACTAATTCTGACTGACTTTTTATGGTTCTTAACTAATATGGTTGAACTTCTTGAACAACAGCTCTCCATTTCCTCATGTAACGAAGATAATTAAAGCCCTATCGGGACCAAAATACGATGGGAAGTACCACCACAGCATTGTTAAGGAAAAACTAGGAAACACAAAACTACACCAGACATTGACTAATGTCGCAATACCAACGTTCGACATCAAGAGACTCCAGCCAACAATTTTTTCCACCTATGACGTGAACAACCACCCAAGCTTGGACGCCTCACTCTCAGATATATGCATTGCAACTTCAGCAGCACCAACATACCTTCCAGCACATCATTTTGAAACAAAGGACCCCGTTGGAAAAGTGAGAGAATTTAACCTAATTGATGGTGGAGTGGCTGCAAATAATCCGGTATCTATCAATTTGATTTATTGTACCTGTACCTCTTCACAACATTTTTTTCCTTGGATATATATGTTTCTAACTGGCATTATATTTGAAATCTTTCAGACTTTGATTGCAATCGGTGAAGTAACAAAGCAGATCATGCAGGAAAATCCCGACTTCCTTGCTATTTCAAAAATGGACTATGGTCGTTTATTGGTTATATCCCTTGGAACTGGCTCGGCAAAGGCTGAGGAAAAATATGATGCAGATGAAGCAGCTAAGTGGGGTACGCTGGGGTGGTTAACCAGTGCTGGTTCCACCCCATTAGTTGATGTGTTTTCTCAAGCAAGTGCTGATTTGGTCGATTTCCATCTCTCGGTTGTTTTTCAAGCCTTTCACTCCGAAAATAATTACCTGCGTATTCAAGTACGTGTTCGTGCTCATAAACAAAATGATTTACTATACAACATTGTTGATTAACTTTTTTATTTCTTTAATTCTATGTCAACAAAGCATTTCCATTGACTCTGTTGGATCAATAAATTGTAGGATGACTCACTAAATGGGATAGTATCTTCGGTCGATATAGCTACCAAAAATAATTTAGAGGATCTTGTGAAGGTTGGGGAAGGATTGCTAAAAAAACCAGTTTCAAGGGTAAATCTGGAGACAGGCATTGTTGAGCCAACTAATGAAGAAACTAATGAAGAGGCTATCAGGAGGTATTAAGATAACTTAATTTACTGATTCTACATATAGTTTGCTTTATTTATTTATTTATTTATTTTTGATAATTCTAACAAACATTTTTGTCCCACAGATTTGCAAAATTACTCTCCGAAGAGAAGCACCTTCGCAATGCTAGATCACCACTTGGACGCGCTGCAAGTTAATTTTAATGTTGTAGTTTCTAATTGTTAGAGGTTACACACACACACACAAATGCCTTACGATTTATTTTATTCATTTTTTAGTATTGTGGTCTTCGTGGAATAAAATGTGGCCAACCAATGTAGTCATTCATTATTCTTTCCAATGATGTATTCAATAAATGGTACGATTTTATAATTTTTGGTGATTCAAAAGACTTTTTGAAATATTGATACCAAAAATCCTCAATTCATACCAATCTACCTTTACCCTAGTGGGTTTGGGTCTATATTATTACATGATACTTTTATATATATATATATATATATATATACTCAAAGGATGCTGCCAAATCACATTTCGTGGTTCGGATACTATACTTCCTACCAGTCAACCATATTATGTAACTAGTTTTCTACCGTCTTGTAAATACCATCCATTCAAATTGCTTTTATTGGGTTAGACTCCAAAACACGGTCCCTCAAGCTACTTCACATTTGGTTATTCAAATTATCAGCTAAAATTAAATCTACAATCGCCCACAAAATTCATGGAAATAAAATCAGAAATGAACAGAAACAATGCACATGGAAAACATCCCACAAATAAACGAAAGAAAAATTACGGTTTCCATGTAAATAAGTATTTGTGTAACGCATTAAACACAAAAGTCATAATCCCAAGAACTAGAACTTCATGGTTTTAAGAGATGTGTAATTCATAAATTAAATTAAATTAAATATAAATACCTTGATATATAACAGCAGCAAATCCTTGTAGAATTGAGATGAACATGAACATTCCAAAACAACATAGAAGACGTCTCTCTTAAACGTATTTTGTTTAGTTTAGGGCAGAGCCAGGATTTCAGTTTAATGGGAAATTAAAAATATATATAAATAAGAAGTGAAAAAAAAAATTAATAATAATAATAATAATAATAATGAAAAATAACAGACTACCATAAAAAATTAGAGTTTAATAATTTAAGAAAGAAAATTTAAAGGCTTGTTTATATAAAAAGAAGATAGGAGAAAAGAAAAGATAAAATTAGTTATAAACAAAAAAAAAAATAAAGCAATAACCTCTATTTATGTTTGGATAAATTATGGAGGAAACGAAACCAAAGGATATTATTTTTATACGAAATAATAATAAAAAATGATAACAATCAAATGACTATAATATATTTTTCTAAAATACTATGAAGTGTCCTACCATATTTATTTTTTGAAAGTAGTTTTGAAATTATGAAAGGATTACTTATTTACACTATCTAAATCTTCTCATTTTTATCCCTCTAAATCTCTTCCAATCCTTTCTTTTCTCACAACAACCCAACCAAACTTCACATTTTCTTTCATTTTCTTTTCTGTTTTTTTTTTTTTTCTTTTCTTATCCTTCCAAATCATCCAATCCAAACGGAGCCTAACTTTTTCTTTTTTTTTTCCTAAGTAATTTAAAGAGTAAAAGAGAAAAGAACAAGAATGTTAAATGAGATAATTTTATGAGTACGTTATATAAAAATTTTCATACATATATATATATATATGTATGTAAAAAAAAAAAAAAATAAATAAATAAATAAAAATCATACATATTATAAAGGGCGGGGCAAGGTCACACTAAGCGGAAAATTATTAGATAGTTCTGAACGATTAATATTTTGTGGATCAGTTTAATTGAAACTGTCTGGTTGAGAAAATGGCCTCAAAATAAATTTCAACATTAGTTTTCATTGGAATAGTCTGTCAAGTGTCAAATGGTCTATGATCATCTAATAATTTCTCGAGGCCCAGGAAAAGTGCCTTCGGGCATATATTGGCTCCACCCTTGTGGACACGGATACGAGTATGATATGATACAGGTATGAGAATACAAAATTTTAAAAAAATAAGACAAAGATACACCAAGGATGTGGCAATAAAATAAAAAAATAATGTTTTATTATATAAATAAGGGTAAAATACAACAACACCCCCTGAGGTTTGCCCAAAGGCCTGCTAGATACAACTTACCTTATTTTGGGACAATGAAACCCCTTATGAAATTTGCATGCCAAACAGAGCCGTAAAACATGTGAAAAGTCAACATTACCATTCACTATTTTATTAATTTTAATTATACAATATCAAAATAATTAAATGACCAAATTACCCTCAGTACCCAATCAATCCTACAACCAGATTCTGGCCACCGCCACCATACCAAACTCTACAACAACCAACACATAATCGCCCCCACAACCACCACCATCCCCGCCCCCAAACCACTGCCACCATCTCCACCCCAACAACCACCCCTGCGTATTCCGACATGATCTAACACCGATACCACCACCATCCCTGTTAACTACTAATTGACTCTAGAGGGAGGGTGAATGGAGTCAATGGCCAATTTTTACAATTTATAAAAATTATTTACAACTAACTATCATGCAATAATCAATTGAAATATTTAAGCAATATATAGCACAAGTATAAAAGAGATAGAGATAGAAAATTAGAGTAGATAAGATGTACAATTTCAGCTCTCAACTAGAGTAGATAAAAATATAAATGAAACTCAAGTTCTAAGATGATGTGAGAGAATGTAGTGATATAAAGGAATGCTCAAGGGAAAGTATTTATGGCTCTTGAATGCTCTTCTTGAATGCTCTTTCAAGTCATGTGTATATTCAACAGACCAACCATCTATATTTACAGAGATATGAAGCTCAATATAGCTGTTAAAGATGGTTGGAGATTATTAAATGCAAATGTTCCCGTTGGAATTCAAATCCCCAGAAGGAGCCGGCTTTGTGCAAAAGTGGAGGCGGCTCCATTACATTCAAGAAGTGGCTCTACTCATAGTGGAGGTGGCTTTACTTCTAGTAGAGGCGGCTCTTCTTCTGAAAAATTGTTTCTCGAGCCAAAATTAGCTACTGGACTGAAAGGAGCATGCTCTACTTTGAATGGAGTCGGCTCCATTGTTGTGCAAAAGCCAAAATTAGCTACTGGACAAAAAGGAGCATGCTCTACTTTGAATGGAGTCGGCTCCATTGTTGTGCAAAAGCCAAAATTAGCTACTAGATAGAGAAAAGCATGCTCTACTTTGAATGGAGGCGGCTCCATTGTTGTGCAAGATTAAAAATGAATTTAACTAAGTCCTATGCACTTCCTATTATGTGTAGCTTGAGTAAGAATGCATATATGAAGTTCATAACTAAATTTTAGGCATTTAAAAACTGAATTAGAATGAATATGCATGATTCTATCCTTTTGAGCTTCAAAATATATTCAAATATATTTTGATATTAAGTTTTAAGCTCTCACCATCCTATTTACCATTTTATTCATTCTTTGACCATGATCGTTTAGACTTGATGAAAACTTGCTTTCTTTCTTTGAAATGCTTGAATGATCTTTGAAGTCCGAGTTTTTCTTTGTTTGGATATGCCTTTGATTTCTTGCAACTTTTAAGGTTTCCTTGAATCCATTGCTTGAAATGCTTGGAATAAACTTTACACCTTCAACATTGAGGATTGAATATTGATCATCTATACATCACTCAATGAAAATATTAGTACTTAAACACCATTAATGGTTTGTAATCATCAAAACATTAGATTGACCTTTAGATAAAATTCTTAAAGCCAACAATCTCCCCTTTTTTGATGATGACAAAACATTGATGTGTTTATTGTCAAGTGAAATAACATTTGAAAGAATGTTTCCTTTATCGATATGCATATCTTGAATATTATAACATACTTGATTTTACAACAAATATTTTAGACATTTAAGTGCATTTAAACTTCACGGCATTTTTATAAGTCTCCCCCTATCAATATGCGTCTATCAAAATATATATATTTGAAGAACAACATATGCATAAACAAACATAATGAACCACACATCATATACACTCATATTTCTCCCCCTTTGTCATCTCAAAAAGGCGAGAGGACAATTTATTTGCTTGCCATTTCATGAAATAATAGAGCATATATAGAAGAGAAATGACAGATAAGGCAAATTAAGAGATATTAAAAGCAAATTTTTCATTTTATAGATGGCATATTTCAATACATTAGGAGAATGTTGACAACAAATGCCATTTGATAGACAAAATCATAGTTCAAAATAAGTACTTCAAAAGGAAATGACAAAAATAAATAAAACACAGCTAAAAAGATGTTTTTCTAAAGTAAATATAGAAAATGAGCGCACAAAACAGTTTTTAAAGGGGGTGCTACTGTCCTAAGGAGGAGGAGGATCATATGCTCATTGCATTTCTCGGAGATTATCATGAATATCTCCAATGGCAGTGATAACATTATTAATTTGTTCTTGTTGACTTGCAAGAGTGGCTTGATTTTGACGAGAAACATCAAGGATTTCCAATAAAAGATTACAATTGGAACTTTCATCAAGCCCGACATCCGTTTGCTCATCATTGTCAACGTCATCGTCACTTTCATTTTCTTCTTCCTCATCGACAACATCATCAATCTCTTCTCCTTTAGCCCTAACCTCTTCCATCCTTCTTTGCCTAGGATAATACCACACATTGTTTCAGTCTTTTTTTAGCCCCATCATCTTAAGATTTGTGGCGTCCAGTATATCTCTCGGGCCTTGTGCGGCTGATTCGCCGTCGTTAAGTGGAATGTTCTTATTCATGAAAATATGAGTGAGAATCTTGGCATAGTAGAGGAGAACCATTTTCTTTTTCTTGCATGCATACAAGTGATGAAAGATGATGTACACCAACTCAAAGACCTCTCCATTCAAGACACACCAAATCAAAAAGATTTCCATGTGAGAGACTTTGGAGCGACTGCCAGATTTCAAAAGAATGGAGTATGTGATGACTTTTTGGATTAGGCGAGCTTCCATAGTCAATTTCTTGGCTTTGACCTCTTTTGTGTTAGTAGTGCGGGAATTAAAGCTCATTTGTTGAATTGCTACTAGTTTGTCAAAACCTTCCCCATTATACCATTTTTGGGGTGAGTAAAATTGAATTCCTCCCATAAGATGAAGAA